GGGATTTTGACGTGTTTTATGCTCCTTCTTGCTTACGCTTTGATTATAAACTCTTACAAAATAGACCCAAAAGGCTCATAAGTTGTGCTTGATTGCAGGTTTGATCAACAAAGTGACGAGATGTCAAAGACCGGCTCAAAAGGAGTGAAACCTGCACAAGTATCAAAGACAAAGACAACTCAGGACAAACTAGCCTAGTCCAGCCGCAGTCCATTCTGTGCAGTCCGCACTAGGGAGATTCAGAGACTGGATTTTTAGGCATCAAAGCAATGTGTCCGCAGTAGATATTGTGCGGCCCGCGCTGAAGACACCGCGGCCGCACCACCATTTTATGTGATCCGCGGAAGCAAACTTCAGAGAGATGTCAAGTGCTAAGGTTCAAGCCTGTGCGGTCCGCGGTCGTGTTTGTGCGGACCGCGCTAGTTCCCTCCGCGGCCGCAGTCCGTTCTGTGCGGTCGGTGGAGCCTGGGTTCAGAGAGTGATTTTTTTAGAGTCAAGAGCGTAGTGCGGCCGCACACCATTTTGTGCGGTCCGCACTGACCCCGCAGGGGCATTTTTGTCCAGTTTTTCCAACTTAGTACAAATAGAATATTTTTCCATTTTTATGGTATCAGATATTACAGAACAGTAATTGCGCTCGCGAGAAGCCATTTTGTAGCCATTTTGGGCACTTTAACGTAGTTCTAGCAATTGAATCATTATATTTACTTTAGTAATTCAATATTATGTTTTTCTTTTCATCTATTTCTCTGATTTTATCTTCAAGCATGAGTAGCTAAACCCATTAGCTAGGGTTGTGGCTCAACCCTATTGTGGGTAATTGATGGGTGTTGTGGTTTAAGGCTAGATTGATTATGGGTGTTTGTTATTTGGGTCAATTTTATGGTTTAATTTATGAATTAGTGGTTGCAAATACTAGTTTGTGCTAAGTTGACTTGGCTCTTCTTGAGAAAGAGAGCCTAAGTCTCCAAAATTGACTCAACAAGGAATCGGGACGGACTCAAGAGATTTGATAGTCCCAATTAAAGGGTTAAACCTCGAGAGAGTAATTACCCGACTTGAACCCTAGTTGCTCGGGCATATATGCATACCCAATTGGTCTCGCGAGAGTCAATTGGGCAAAACCACTCTTTCTACTGAGAGGTGTAGAGTGGGTAATATTGAGTAACGGTTATAACATATTTCCCCAATCATGTCAGTCGTGCCTTAAATGCAATTACCCGTCAATTAGCCACCTAGGTGAAGGTCACTACCCTAGTGCCCTTTTAACTATTAGATATAACTTGTAGCAACTCTCGTTTAGCATAATCTAGCTGCATTTATAATTAGTAAGTGATAATAGTAGAATATAAATAAAACCCAAAAATGAATAGAAGACCAATTAAGAGCATACATGCAATCCTAAGCTAAATAGATACTCGACTCCAATCCTAGCTCTCTGTGGATTCGATCCCGACCCACAAATCGGGTAAAAGCTATTGCGACCCTCTCTGGTTTGGTTTTGATAAAAAAACGAACCATCCGGTCCATGTACACCCCTAATCAGAATATCATTTTAAGAAACCGAATATCGAAAATACCTAACCGAAATGACTAAATATCGTACAGTACCGATCGACGAACACCCCTAGTTACAACAAGTATAATCCCATAAGTGTGTGTACGCATACCTTACTCCTATCCTGGTAGGTCAAAGAGGTCGTCTCCGATAGACACTCGCCTCTAGAATAGTAACAGCAGTAGAGGTGAGAAAGATAACAGCAAACTAATGTAACACCCCGTACATTTGGACTAGGTGTGGATATGTTAAATGGGTATTAATTTGATATTTTAGACTTATGAAGTCCTAGAGGGATGATTATGGGTGAAAATAGTTTGTTTTAGAATCAAGATGGAGAATCAGGTGCATAAGATTCGATAAAATCTACAAAATTTACAAAAGGTCGGTCTTGAAGAAGGTTTAGTGAAAAACGCGTAAGGTATTTGGGAAACCACAAAACACGAAAGCTGTAGGACTTTGAAATAGCTTTCCAACGATAAATTATGGAGCCCGAATAGATCTCTGTGCAAAAAGTTATGCGCATTTTACAGAATATTGTACAATACACGCGCCCCGAGCGCGGCCGCGCTCCTGTGGCAGTGTTACTGCCATTTGGCGTAGTTAGGTGCGCGGTCAGGCCTACAGGTGCGCGGGGGCGCTCATGGGGGTCATTTTAAAGCCTTACTTCGTCCCCCACATCCCCAAAACACAAAAACTTGCTCTAGAAAGGGGAGCTCTCAAAAACCTAACTCCTTAAAGGTCCCTCCACCACCCAAGGTAAGTTCTAATGGTGATTCTAAGTTAATTTCAATTTTCTAACATCTTATTAACATGGGTAAATCCTCCAGATCATTAGATATTTGATTGGGGCATCATTATTGAGAGAAGGAACCCTAGAACTCAAATTCAAGAAGATTGAACGTCAAGAAGGTAATATATTCACCCTCTAATTGATTATAGCGTTGGATTAATGATTGTAGACTACAAGTTCATGAGATATGAGCTGATGGGTTTGATAGAAAAGCATGAACAATTATAGGTTTGGCTTGTTGATTGTTGATTATTGGTTTAGGGTGTTGTTTATATTATGGGTGAAGAAGAATGACATTGATGATAAGAAATTTGAGATTTTAGTATTTATCTAGGATCAAGAGAATGTCTTGTTGCGCGTAGAAACACCATTAATAAGGACTATGAAGCTTTATGTCACCAAGTATTTGAGAAAATGCTTAAGTGACTAAAACATGAGAATTATTGCTAATATGAAATCCCTTTGACTTGTATTAATATAGATTAAAGCTGAAAGGGTTGGCGAATGTTGTACTACGCTCAAGAGTAGGAAGTTAAGGTATGTAAAGCTAACTCTCTATGTTTGGGAATGTTATTGATTCTCCCTACACTATGCTTCTTTTACAACGTTACTAATTGCCTCAGAAATATAGTTTAGCCTAGTTCCTTGAATAGTTGTAGAACTTCTATTCTTTAGCTTCATAACTCGTTCATGACTTTCGTTCTGAACGTTGTGAGCTCACTGCGTATTCAATATAGACTTGGGTTTGATGCCCCCCGAGTCTTAGTATAGATTACTCAGTATGTCATAAACAATTGAAGTTTCAGTGTTCATAATCAGTTCAAGAATACATGTCTTAGTAGTCCTATTCAGTATTCCAGTATTATGTAACTCAGTGTGATCCAGTATTCCAGTATCAAGTAACTCAGTGTGATTCAGTATTTCACTATCATGTATTGCAGTATGATTCTCAGTTCCTGATTTTAAATCCCTGAAAGTTGAACACCTGTATTTGGGCTTGAGGCCGCAGTTTATGTTTTATGCATCTTTGGGCCTGAGGCTGCAGTTATGTATACGTATACTTGGGCCCGAGGCCGCAGTTGTGCACACACACACACGCAGTTTATTTATTCAGATAAACAGGTTGTTCATCATTCAGAAGAGGGAGTATTCATATCCTTACTTCCTTTGTTCAGTTCAATTATCAGCTATCATTTCAGTTATGAGTTGTCACTTCAGTTATTATTTATCAGTTCAGTTATCAACTATCAATTCAGTTATCAGTTATCAGTTATCATTTCAGTTTCAGTTTTAATAGTTATCATTTCAGTTATTAATTATCAATTCTCAGTTATCAGCTTGGTTTCAGTTTCAGCATTTATAATTCTTTCTTTCAGTTGCCTTACATACCAGTGCAATTCAAATGTACTAACGTCCCTTTTGCCCGGGCCTGCATCTCACGATGCAGGTAATGATTTACAGGTTGATGATTCAGAGCGCTAGGATTCTCGTACCAACTACTTGGTGATCCCCAGTTCTTCCGGGGCATTATCATTACCTTACAATCTTCAGAATTTTCAGAAAATCAGTGTTTTTAGTACTTCATTAAAGGCTTCATAGACTAGAGTAACAGTTAGACAGAGTCTCAGGCTTTTCATGTTAAGCAATGTTGGCTACATATATGTTTCAGACTTGTTTTAGTATTTCCGCACTTTGATTTATATCATCCAGACTTTCAGTATATCAGCATGTGTTAGTTTATCTTCTGCATTCAGTATGTTATGACATCACATGTTGATTCAGCCAGCCAGTTGGTTCGCTCGGTCACATGTAGTTAGGCACCGAATGTCGTGTTATGTCGAGGCCCAGGTTCGGGGCGTGACAACTAAGAACAAAAAAATAGATGAAAAAGGCAATATCAATAACCAATAACAATGGCAAGTAGGGGTGTTCATAAAAATCCGAAAAACCGAACCAAACCGAAAACCAAACCAAACCGACCAAAAAAGCTGATACTTTTTGGTTTGGTTTGGTTTTGGTTTTGAATTTTAAAAACCGATCAAATTTGATTTGGTTTTGATTTTAATCACAAAAAAACCGAACTAAACCGACTATAGGAGTAGCTATTTCAAATTTATTATTACACCTATATATATGTATATTGTTATACCAAGTTTCAAAAAATTTATGGTAAATTTAATAGTTTGCACTTTTAATATAGTTCTTTACCTTTACATTCTTGTTTGATTGGTAGTTTATTTTTGTTTAGTGTAAGAATCCATTTCATGTTAAAAATAATATATTTTTAATTGAGTCTTTAAATTATCCATCACTATTTGATTCAATTATCATCAATATATCTTGGTAAATAATAGATTTCTCAAAGGACAATTGATTTGATAGTGTTACATTGAAAATATGGTCGCCGGAATATGTATTTGATAGTGTATGCCTTATATTTAAGAAAAAACCGACAAATAACCGAAAAAACCTAAAACCGACATAAACCGAATCGAGAAAAACCGACTTAATTGGTTTGATTTGGTTCTAATATTTGAAAAATTGACTTACTTGGTTTGGTTTCTTTTTAGGGAAAAACCGATCCAAACCGAACCATGAACACCCCTAAATTGGCAAGGTACTAGAAAATCAATAAATATAGTGAAATACAGTATACGAGGTTAAATTTGAAATTTTTTATCACTATATATAGACAAATATTTTGCCCCACCATACCGGCTCTCTCTCAAAATATGAATGACATGCAATCACATAACATCAGTGGAGAGAGCACAAAACCATACATTCTGAAAAAATGCATTGCCCTTTTGCTTTCATGTGCCTCTTCAACTTACAAATTCAAGCAAGTACATGCATTTTCCATCAGACGTGGCATCCCTTTGTCAAGCCCAGAAATGGGCAAGTACTTGATTTTCTCTCTAGTTTCCCTTTCAGGTCCGATGCGCTACGCCCAGAAAATCTTTAATCAAATTCAATTTCCAAATATCTTTACTTGGAATACAATGATTAGAGGTTATGCTGAGAGTGAAAACCCGTATCCAGCTATTGAAATACACAATAAAATGTGTGTGAATTCTGTTGCACCTGACACACATACATACCCTTTTGTGTTAAAAGCTATTGCGAAGGTGATTGATGTTAGGGAAGGAGAAAAAGTGCATTGCGTTACTATTAGAAATGGGTTTGAATCGTTGGTGTTTGTTCAGAATTCCTTGGTTCATTTCTATGGAGCTATTGGTCAAGCAGAGGATGCACATAAGGTGTTTGAGGAAATGTCTGACAAGAATCTTGTGGCTTGGAATTCAGTGATTAATGGGTATGCTTTGAATAGTCGACCTAATGAAACGTTGACCCTTTATAGGAGAATGGTTTTTGAGGGTGTCAAGCCTGATGGGTTTACTTTGGTTAGTTTGTTGACTGCTTCTGCTGAGCTTGGTGCTTTGGCTTTGGGTAGAAGGGCGCATGTGTTTATGTTGAAGGTGGGATTGGATAAGAATTTACATGCTGCAAACGCCCTTTTGGATCTTTATGCTAAATGTGGGAATGTAAAAGAGGCAGAGCAAGTTTTTGATGAGTTGGAGGAGGATAGTGTAGTTTCTTGGACCTCTTTGATTGTAGGTTTGGCTGTTAACGGGTTTGGTGAGAGAGCACTTGAGCTTTTCAAGGAAATGGAAAGAAAAGGATTTGTTCCTACTGAGATCACATTTGTTGGGGTGTTATATGCCTGTAGCCATTGTGGTTTGGCGGACAAAGGCTTTGCTTACTTTGAAAGGATGCAAAAGGAGTTCGGAATTAAGCCTAAAATTGAACACTATGGCTGCATGGTTGATTTATTAGGAAGGGCTGGTTTAGTGGAAAAGGCGTACAAGTATATTACAGACATGCCATTGCAACCCAATGCGGTGATTTGGCGAACATTACTCGGTGCCTGCTCAATACATGGTCATTTAGCTCTAGCGGAGATGACCAGAAATCACCTTAAGCTGTTAGAACCTAAACATTCTGGAGATTATGTGCTCCTTTCGAACCTTTATGCAGCCGAAAGGCGATGGTCAGATGTGCATAAACTGAGGAGAACAATGCTTAAAGAAGGGGTAAAGAAAGTCCCCGGGCATAGTCTCGTTGAGTTGCGTAATCGTGTGCATGAATTTGTTATGGGAGATAGAACCCATCCTAAAACTGAGGCTATATATGCTATGCTTGCGGAAATGACTAGATTGTTGAGATTGGAAGGTTATGTCCCTCATACATCAAATGTGCTTGCTGACATAGAGGAAGAGGAGAAGGAGACTGCTTTGGCTTACCATAGTGAAAAAATTGCAATTGCATTCATGTTGATTAGTACACCGCCTGGGACCTCTATTAGAATTGTGAAGAACTTAAGGGTCTGTGCTGATTGCCACCTTGCCATAAAACTAATATCGAAGGTCTTTGATCGCGAGATAGTTGTTAGAGATCGTAGCCGGTTTCACCATTTCACCAATGGATCTTGCTCTTGTAAAGATTATTGGTAAAACGTAATTGTGGGATTGGAACTGGAACTTTACGTGAGTTGCTGAAATCAGAACGTGTCCTTTTGGAAATATAAAAATCGATGAAAACTACTGCATTCTACTCAAGGAGAAGTTACCAAAAACAAGACGCTAATATCTAGTCCGTTGCTTGATGGGCAGTTTGAAAACAATTAATGCAACTCTATGCTTTCTGTGGAAGAAATATTCCTCAACCCCCTTCTACACTGTTTTATGTATCGTTTTAAGAGGATCATCCTGGGTGTCTATACAACTCTTGAGAGGATTAGCTACCTTTGTAATAACAAAAAGCGAGGTACCTGACCCTAAGCAAAAGGGATTCAATCTGACGAGTAAGTCCTTCAGTTTCACCAAAACCCTTTAATAACTTCAGATGATTGCACTTTCATTTCAGCTGGTAAGGTTACATACTCATTATTCCCGCATAATCTGCTATATTTAAGATGTTAATACCCAGTTGACAGCTCATGTTCCACCTTGCTGAAGGTATAAATCAAGTATCTGATGATTCTTGCAGATTCCTTTCAAAACCTGTTGATACACATTCCACTTCAAGTTGCCAGTTACCTACATGGATCCTCAAATTTTGTGCACTAAATAAAGAAATATCTTTTTAAGTGTCTTTGAAGCCCAACATGCTCCCACAACAGCAAGACGCAAGGTTGGAACACACACCCCTGAAGCTGAAATATCCAGATTTTTTTTCCTTTGTGGAAGAAGCTAAAGCAACTACTGTCTTTTGTAGATCAGGAAGTGGATGGTGTGTGATTTTTGAAGAAACTACTTTGACTTGGAAGTAACTAGCATGGCTCAACTAATTCTGGAGTTGGGCAGATCAAGACGCTTAGGAATCTCTGGAAATGGACCAGCAGTATCCACATCACAGTCAACTCATACTACAGAGTACTTAATGACGGTGAATCTAGCTCTGCACAATGGCCATGGAGTATGATCTGGAAACTATGGCTGAATACAAAGTGGGTTGCTTCAGTTGGTTGTTGATGCATGATGCATGTTTGACTAATGGCGGCATAGCTCTAGAAACCAGACAGAGATCATTCATGGCGTGGGCAAAATTTCTTGGTTTCTTGTTTTGATGATCTATGTTTGCTCCTCTTTTCTGTGTTGCAGAGAGAACCAATTACATGCTCTTGGAGTTCTCCAAGTGGCATTGCTCCATCATTGATTCCATCAAAATAGCTACCCTCTTTCTGATGGCCAACATTCTAGGCTACTTTATTCCTATGGTTCTTGAAGCTCAACCCGTCTTCTGGCCAGAATATGCTTGCTTTAGGGATCATGATATGCCTGAAATCCCACAAAAAGGTGGAAGGAATGTATTGTGAGGGGACGGATTCAGTTCTTCAATGTGCAACAGGAAACTCGTTTGGGGCTATTTATTTCAATCAATTTGTCAGCTAATCCTAGAAGGGGAGCAACTGGTAAAGTTGCTGCCATGTGACCAGGAGGTCACGGGTTCGAGCCGTGGAAACAGCCTCTTGCAGAAATGCAGGGTAAGGCTGCGTACAATAGACGCTTGTGGTCCGGCCCTTCCCCGGACCCGCTCATAGCGGGAGCTTAGTGCACCGGGCTGCCCTTTACTTTAGCAGCTAATCCTAGTGTGAACATTTCCTTTAATTCTGGCAGGGTTTATTCCGGTCATGGCACACATGTAGCCTCCATTGCTGCTGGAAAGTATGCTCAATCTGCTCTGTACTACGGATATGCCAAAGGATCAGCAAGAGGAGTTGCCCCACATGCTATGCTGGCTGTTTACGAGGTGACCTGGACAGAAGGAAGCCATACTTCTAATTATCTTTCTGGTATGGATCAGGATGTTGCAAATGGTGTTGACAGAATATCCATTTCTCTTAGGTATTGATTACTCCATAATATGAAAAGATTCTATAGCAAATGCCTCTTTTGGTGCCCTGCTGAAAGGGGTCTTAGTTTCTGCTGCAGCGAGAATGGTACCATGCATGTTAGTCTAGGTGCCTGGCCTTCTACTATATGTGCAACTGGCAACTGGACCGGCATAGAATTAGAATATCATCATGCTGCTGAATTGCTGCCATGCCAAAAGTTGCAACCAGATTGGAGTCCATCAGCTATTAGGTGTGTTATGATGACCACCATGAAGGTGTGAACCATTTAGGCAGTACTTCAAACCCCATCGTTGATGCGGCAACAATAGCCCAGCAACGCCATTAGGCAGCAGAGCAGGACATGTTGATTTGAATCGTGCTGTGGATCCAGGATTATTAATATATGATGCTACTTCTCATGACTGTGTGAATCTTCTATGCTCCATGTAACCATTGCAAGATTATCAGTTAGCTACAACTGCTCAAATCCATCTTCTGATCATAATTACCCATAATTTATTGCCTTATATGTGTGTAGCCTAAAGAGGGAAACTTCCCTTGGGTGGTGGAAGTGCCCAAGAATTGTACAATATCAGTATACTCACAAGTTGTTGTATTTTTTTATTTGAACTTTGTAATTTTTATTTCACTTGCCTTTAATTTAGAAAATAAGAAAGAATATAGATACAACAAGGTATGACAATTCAGACTTCATGGTAGTCTATAACTTCATCTCGAATTAAATCTAGAGGGAGAAAGTCATATGCAATTATACGACTTCTTTTTATTTATTTATAATATATCTATACAATTTAACCAGCTTGTTATAAAAGTTACCTGTTATGATAATATAAAACCCCTTGTTTGTGAATGCACACAACTTAAAGTCGATTTAATTGGTGTTCTAAACTCTTCTCCTATCGTTTTGCAATTTACCATAATTGTCCACTAAATTTCATATAACGATGAAGAAATCAGAATCATGTAGGAAAACAATCAAAACAGTAAACAACACCAAACAACGAATGCTAGAACTAATTTTTAATTGAATAAAAATATGGCTGAGTATTTTTTTAAAATGAATCGCATTAAGTAAATTAGATAGAACAACGAATGGTCAAACCCAGCTTCTGTCATGGCACATTTTTAGTCAGCTTTTACAATAACAATGAAATTCAACTAATCATGAAACTGAAAGAACCATATGAAAAAAAAAAAAAAAAAGAGAAATGGCCAATAAATGATAAATGGAAACCAAAATTTGAGCATCGGTCAACCAAACAGCTGTGATTTTTCTCATCGGCATCATCTCTTCTTGATAGAGATCAACCTAAGGATTCACATATCTACAAATAGAACAAAAGACAATACAAATCATGAATCTTGATTTTGATTGAAATAGCAATGAATACAAACAATTTGAATCACCAATGGCAATAGTTAGCACTTAGCAGGAAAAAAACTTATTCGCACCTGATGTTTATACTACTTCAATAAGTACATGACATGTTTTTTTCACATATAATGTTATCACAATCATCGTTAATTAACATACACTATCATGTCATTTTTATCACTTAACCCCGGTGTGGATAAGTTTCCTCATTGTTAGATTCGATAGATCGGTCAAAGAAAAATGATTTTTGATCATTTTCTCTTATTAATAGTAAAGAATAAAGAACTAGACTGTCAAAATAAGAATCAAAATATGCAGACAACATGGCGAAAAGAACAAGCGGAGCAAGAAAACAAAATTCAAGTGTTTCAGTGAACATTTATATCTACTTCTATGCAAATTACAATAGGTAGGAACTATAATCTGTTTCTTAAACTGAATCTATGAAGAAAATGACAAGCTGTACCTCATCAAAAATCTTCTAGTTCCCGCGGTTCCACAAGAATATAGAGGGGCTTTCCCTTTAGCCTGCTTTGACCCTGATACGCGGAGAAATCAAGACGAAAAAAAAAAAACATAAAAATTATGCTGCACAAAATAGTTTGTTCAGAGCTCAGACTGCATAAATTAACTAGTACCCTGATCATGCTTGTTCCAATAAAATGAAGTGATAAAAAACACCTATAGAAAATAAATAAGTGAGTTTATATTCGCCGCGGAATAAGTATCTCCAATTCCTAAATATCCAAAATTCCATTACAGAAAAAGAGAAGAAGTAAACTGAGCTTGTGTAGTTAGCATCTCAAGAGTATTAAATTTGAACAGCAGTAGGGCAGATGCAGTATTTATGAGATTGGCAGATGAGATCCAGTTTCTGTAGGCAATAACTATTGCATGCCAAAGAAACCGGTAAGGTTATTTATTTTCTTTTCAATCATAAAAAACTGAAAGAGAAAAAGCCAACGAAATGAGACTTATAAATAAAAAAATACGACCAACTTTCAGTAATTTCTTTTTGTTTTTTCTGACGACCAAGGAAATCCGTCTGGAGCAAACCGTTTGAACAACCGCAGCCTTTGAAACTCAGGGATGATGGGCTCACCCCTCTACACTTCTCCGCTTAAATACCGGACTCGAACATGTGACCTAAAACACAAGTCCATCAACCTTTGCCATCTGAGCTAACCCCGAGGGGGCCCTACTTTTAGTAGTTCGTTTGGACTTTTTTCTATCATTTTTTATGTAACTTGTAGCAAAATTCATGAAAAACACACGAAAGCCTAAAAACAGTTACTTTCCTTCAACAAAGGTTTGCATTGATTAACAACTTGTTTGTCCAAAAAATATCAGAATTTCAAATAAACAAAGCAAAGTCAAAGAGAATGATAAGTCAGCACTACCTTGACCTCTGGCACTCCGATAACGCAACCACATTCAACCACTTCAGCCCCCATCCGTTCTACATTGTAGTACGGAAAACATCATTAGCTGAGCCCAAGAACGAAGGAACCATGAGAATCACGGAAATTACCTAGAAGTTTAATTGCAGCAGAGAGCGTTCCACCGGTAGCTACCAAATCGTCAAGTATGACTGCTTTGTCCCCTTGCTGTACAGCTCCAACATGCATCTCCAAACAATCTTTCCCATACTCCAGTTCATATGATTCTGCAATTACCTTACCTGTCCAGTGTTGTCAATGCTGAGATAAGACTTTCCAAAAATAGTAGTCAAGCATTAATAAGGTTTCCTTTTCAAGACCAGCCTTTAAAGCAATCTTCTAAGGATGGTTTCCATATCTGGACCATACTCCAAGATGGAATGGGCAGCATGGAAGCAGAGCCCAATAGCATGTAAAAGATATAATGCATGATATTAAAGATACGGTCAGCAACAAAGTCAAAGAAATTTGAACATCCTATCCTACATGAAATTAGTTTGTTTAATCAACTACTTCTTTTGAAGGGGAGCCCTGGCATAACTGGTAAAGTAACTGCCATGGGTTTGAGGCATGGAAACTACCTCTTGCACAAATGCAAGGTAAGGCTGGGTACAATAGATCCTTGTGGTCCGGCCGGCCCTTCCTTGGACCCCGCGCATTGCAAGAGCTTAGTGCACCGGATTACCCTTTTTTTAATCAACTACTTAAGTTGATACATTTCTTATCCTGTTCTCTTTGATAAATCTTCTAATCTGATGAACAAAAGATGAATCACAAGATACTGACTCTGACTTTGATAGTTAAGATGGATCCGAGAGCGATATTCTAACATTAACATGAAATTATCACAACATTTCCACCAGAATGCATTACTGATAATTGAGTGCTCCTCATAATGAAAAGAAGTTCTAATTTCTAAAAATTATTTACAAATCAATCTAAGAATACCTGGCAATTTTCCTGGCTTGCGTAAAGGAACAAACTTTGCACCAATGGCTAGAGCTACAGATGGACCAAACATGAACCCTCTAGCTTCAATTCCTATCAAGTAATTTGACCATTAATGAAAAATGAGGAAAAGAAATTAAAAAGTTTGCAAATTAGTAAGGGTGAAGAACAATTTTTCCTAATATCCTAACATTATGGAAAACACTATCATACTACAATTAAATAATTCTGACTAAATGCACTGTATCACCAAAAAAAACAATTAACTGTCTCTCTCATTGAATAAAATATTTTACAACTCAGGAAAAATCCAAAATTACTTAGTCATGACACTCTAAGATAATGGCATTTTGTCATATAAAAAATTAGGCAGGTGCTTAAATACACTTCAATACAGCTTCCAAATTAATCCAACACAACTAATTTATGCTTTAAAAAATGTATTCCACACCAAACATATCAAATGTGGGTGTAATTTCCTTAAAAAAAAGATTCTGTATTTTAATGTGGAATAATGACCTAATCTTCAATGATTAGTAAGAAAGGACAAAAAACAAGGAGAAATAACCTGAAATTTTTCAGTGAAATTAATACAGTGAAAGAAAAAATATTTCCTTTGCATACACAAGAAAAACCAGATACAAATTCTAATAGTTAAAAAGTGAAAGAAGAGATTTACCAGCAACAACAGAGATGTCCATGTCTTTGTACCTATCAACAAATATGTCCACTGTGTCTTTAAATACCTTATGATTCAACAACAAAGTTGTAATATCCTGAAACATTATTCCTGCAAAAACAAGGAAAAAAATAGTATTTAAAAAAAAAAAAAAGACATGCATTGCAAAAAATAAGGAAAAGGGCAGCCGGTTGCACAAAGCATCCGGTATTTATGAAGTTTTCGAGGGTCCAAGGAAGGACCGCACCTCGAGGGTGTGATGTAGCAGTGTACCCTGATGCTTACATTAGTGGTTGCTTCCACGACGATCAAACACGGAGCCAGAATGTTGAGTATATGGGTTCTGGAATCTAGAACATGATAAGTTATTGGGTTCGACATAGATTATTTCTACATATTAATTAGATTTCTTAAGATAAATACAGGACTTGAGCTGCAGCTACTGGGTTTTACTGAACCCTAGTGGCAACGCTAGTAATTTTTCCAAGGGTATTCAAATTTAAAAGCAGTGAAAAAATTTCTCGATAAAGGGTGTTATTTTTTACCTACGTATACGGTGTAATTTTTCGACAAACTGGTGGAACCCATAGAAGGCAGTAGCTAGACTTGTGGCTCGTAACCCATGACTTATAGATCATACATAGACAATTTTACCATTGCGCCAAAGCTCCCTTTCACATAACACGAAAAAAATGGGAAAGAAAAAGGGGTCAAAATGCAGGTAGAAAAATGAAAACTACCTGGTTTTGGGAAATCAGGAACAACTCTAATGGCTTGAGAAATGCCCTGAAGCCTAGAATCTCCTTTGAGTCCATTTTCAGCTGCAAACATCTTCTTGAAATTTTTCTATGTGAGAAATTAATTTGTCTCTGTTTTTCTCTCTATATATAAGTAAGACTAGAGGAAGAGGAGATGAGGCAATTGATCTTTTGTTTGTTTAATAGTCAGGAGAAGCAGTGTACTTTCTCACTCTTCAATGTCTTTTAGGAAGGTTTGGTTTGGTATGCACTTTGTTATTTCCAACAAGAATAGAGTAGTTGCTTCTTAAATTGCATTTCTTTTCCCTCTCAAAGTAAGATAATAATAATAATAAAAAGGATCAAATCTTTCTCTCTTCTTTTTCTCTCTCTCTCTCTCTTTCTATCTTTGTTGGTGTGCATCAAACACAAGTGGTTTATAAAACAAAATAAAAACAAGGGGTTGTTTGGTTTAAGGATAATATAATTATAGTGATTTTTAATAATATGTTGGAATTCAATAATCTCTTCACCTAATTATTTAGTCCTAGTACTTTGTTTGGTTCAATTAATTAAATAGGAGTAAAGGTTTATTCTCTCCGAATTTCACTTGTGGGATTACACTGGGTTGTTGTTATTGTTGTTGTTGTTGTGAGATATACAGTCAAATCTCTCTATAACGGCCTTATTTATACTAGATTTTTTTGGTGTTAAAACGAAGTGTTATTGAAAAAAAATATATATATGTTATAACACAGCATGAAAATTAGTTCCAAAGAGAACTTGACTTTTATAATTAATGATTGTTATATAACGACGTTGTTACGGGCAGATTTGAATGTTCCACCTACAGTTCGAAATATATGTTTGATTTGAAACTGAATAAACTTGGATAAAGTTATGTGGAGTATATAATTTTAACCTTGGCATTTTTAAAGAATTTTGGGAGAGGAGGCTTTGAAAGACATATTTGTCATTTCATTATTTTATCAAGAGATTAGCTAATTCCAATATTGTTATTCCACATAGCATGCAATAGAATATTCTCATATTTTATTCTTGATTTATGATAGATACTAATCACGAGATAGAATATAAAATTATATTTATCTTATGTTAGATTATGGTACTAGCTAATAGTAGGATAAATTTTATGCTAAAATAGTGGAATTAGTTATCCCATATAGAAGGTGAGATAACTAATTCATGGGAAAAAGTTTAACGTTTATATATCAAAAGCGTAAAAAAATACTTATATGATTAAATTACTTAGTAAAAATATATTATAGGTAATCTTTACAAGAAAAGCTGACTGATAACCAGGTAAAAAATAAAAATATTAACTTCCTTGTTATAATGGATTAAACTTTAACTGTAGGAATTTTTTTAATTTAGTAGAACTTAAATTGAATGATTATTATAATATTGTAGATTTGTGTTGGCCAAAACAAAACAGAGGACTCCCAAGACTGACACAAAAAAGCTGGACAAAAGTAGGAAGATACATGGAAAAGAAAGATCAGGTTAAAAAGAAATATGCACAACTTTTTACACAATTATTAATATATAATATATTGTGTTTAAATTAATCCTAGAAAGAAATGTCACTCATTCTCAGGAAACTTCTGACTTCTGAGCATGTTGTAGTTACTAGGACGCGGGTTGACCAGTTTTTTCAGAAATGTATTTAAAGAAATTTATTGCAAATATAGTTTTTACACATTATTTTATTAGAAAAATGATGTACTAGTATTTATTTCAATAGTTATATTTTAAAGTTAAAATGACTTGTTTAAATAGTTATGTTATTTTTTATCTTCTAAAATGCGTTTCTTTTTTTGCTTTTTGAAAAGCTTTTTCGGAAAACAACATCAAACAATATGTTTATAAGACATTACATAAGAGTCACTTGCTAAGTATTTAAATGCTCAATCTTTTAATACTATTATTAAATACAATATTAAAATATTAGGACAAAAATATTCTAGGTATTTAAATTCACAATTTTTAAGAAAATATCAATAATAAAGTGCGTTGTACGAAATGGTCGGAGGGATTATTACTCCCTCTGTTCACTTTTAGTTATCCACTGTACTAAGAGTTTGTTTGGTCATAAAAAAATTTACATTTTTCGTAGTCAGTGTTTCGCCATAATTTTTCAATTTTCACTTTAAGATGAATTTTGAAATTTTTTGAAAATTTGAAAAAATCCGAAAAATTATTTTTCGAAATTTTCACTTAGAGCATCCACAAAATTATATTCATGTCCAAACACAACTCTAATTGTCAAATACCACTTTCACTTGAATTTTTTTTTACTTTTTCGAAACTTTACAATTTTTATGTCCAAACGTCCACTAAAAATATATTTTCACTTTCACTTGTCCACTATACTGAATCAAGAGAAAGACAATCTTTTCTTTCATATTTTACCCTTATCATTAATTATTCATTTCCAAATCATTTCCCAAGACTTTTGGAAATGCTAAGGGTAAATTTTAAAATAAATACTCCTTTTGTTCACTTTTACTTGGCATGTATACTAAAAATAGATTTTTATTTTTACTTGGCACTTTACGCATATCAAGAGAAGACAAAAAAAATCCTGTTATACCTACAGTATTTATTACTCATTTCAAATCATTTTCTCAAATCCAAAAAAATATGCATCAATTAATATGAATATAATTATAAATTATGCACTTCATTTATTATTTTTTAAGGGGCATTAAAAATCACAACGTGCCAAGTAAAAGTGAACGGGGAGTACTTCAGAACGAGTGAGTATTTGAGTGTTGAGACAAACTGAATTCACATTTATACACTAAAAAATCATTCAAGTTGGGAATTAGGAGACAAACATACATATGGTATGGATCGTAATTAAAGGAGTCAGTTATGTGAGGTAGACATAATACGAGTTAATATAATCAACGTGATTGGTTGATAATAATTTATATAGAGAATAAAATATAAGACATCTAATTAACAGTCAGATTAATATTTCTTCTGACACAATATCCTTGACTTTGAATTGTTGACAAAAAGGAAAAAAAAATGCAGTTTTATCTGTTTAAATTAAAACCATGATTTTGAAAAGGAAAAAAAAAAAAGAATCTGGACCTTAGCGCATTGAGTCTGCAATGAGTATGAAAGTGACTGTGTTTAATGTCCACCAAAATCTGCCTTCTATAGATTACTTGCCATTTAATGTCTGCTTTTATTTCTTTCCTTAATTTCTAGTCTAGAACTATAATTCTCTACTTCGCAACCCCACAATAAAAAAATGTTGAGTATTTTTGCTTTAACAAAATCCACACCGTCCAATGTCATTTTCTAGTTTTCAAAATGAATCTTCGACTCTAATTTAGCGCAAGCTCGATGCACGATGTATTTCGCGTTCATGTATGATTCAGGATAGGATTGTTATGTGAATATAAGTTTAAATGACTGATTTCACAATTCGGACATATAACATATATGTCACACAAAAATAACTTTACAATTGCCCAATACCCCGCTCTTCTCGAGTTATTTCCTTTAATGGTCACACAACTTATAGAAATATCCTATCAAAATTACTTTTGTTGGTTTGGGATAATGAAATTTTCCAACTATTACTTTTGACACAAAATATTAAAAAAATACTCATTTGGCATGCCATGCCATATTGAAAAAAAAATTACTTACAAAACTCATTTAGCTCATGTCCCTTATACCCATTTAATCTACCTATAAGAAAATGGGTCTAATTTTAAATAACAAGTTCCTATTCTTAACAATATATATATATATATATATATATATATATATATATATATATATATATATATATATTAAAAGGCGGGTAGTTTGCAATATAGTTAAGCTGAGTGGCACTTAAAAAAGGACACATGGAAATTAGAACAGAACTAATAAGAATAAGGACAAAGCTAATAAGAATTGTAATAAAAAAAAATTGATAATTGAAAGATAAAGTATCAAATTAAGTTTAGAACTAAATATTTAACAACAAAATTTAACAATAAGATTCACTAGAGAGTCCCATTAAAATGATGTACTATTTTGAAATTTAGATAGTCTTATCAGATTCTCATGACCCAATTTTTCCTCTGTTGGGTATCGTGATGGCACCTAGTATTAGGGACTAGATAAGCCTAACATTTACTAAATAACAACAATAATAAAGGAAATCTAACAGTCTTGATATAGAATCTTCACATAATTTACAACTTCCCAAAATTGGTAGTACAAGTCATAAGCTCTACAGAGTTGCTACAACTTCTAAATACAACTGTTTGGAAATGAGTAAAAACAATTTTAATATAAAATAAGAAGGTGACTCCGAAGCCTGCGAACGCGGCAACAGATTTACCTTGAGTCTCCTCAGCAAGGATCCGCACAACTACTAACGATCAATACCTGGGGCTGCACAAAAATGTGCAAAAGTGTAGTATGAGCACACCATAGTGAATCTCGAACGGTCGTAATCAAATCTCTCAATTGTTTTCCTTTTCTCCTGTCGTTAACTCTCGAAAGTCTTGCCCAGTATGTATCAAGACTAACCTCGGTGAAGTAGTGATGAGGACTAGTCAAGACACCCACTGGTCAAATAAAACTGAACAAGCATAAGTATGGGAATGACAGTACATGACATCTAACTAAGGACTACGCAATATGACTAGCAACATAGCAACTGCAATAAGGAAGGAAAAACAGCAAGTAATAGCGGAACACCATAATAAGACACAGAAGAATGCACGGAAACACAACCAAAATCCGATAAATCACAATACAGTAAAGGCAAGTAGTAACTCATCAATTGCAATAGTTTTCACATCAGGTCTTAGCCAACAAACCCCAATAATTTAGTCAAATCCTTCAAGTGTAAACTTTCACCCGTAAGTTTTTTTTTTAAATGAGGTCTTTAGAATATAATCCTTTCCAATAAGAAATTCTATTTGAAATATACTTCTTTCAAATAAATATCTTTCAGACATAGTTCTTTGAAGATAAATACTTTTCAATTATAAACTTCTCAAATAAATATCCTTCAAGCATAGTCCTTCTAAGATCAATACTTTGCAAATATAAGCTTTTCAAATAAATATCTTTCAAACATAGTTCTTTCAAGATATATACTTTTCAAGTAAATATCCTTCGAGTATAAGTCACCCCGTGACATTTAAGCATAGAAGATTAGCTGCTCTGAACACAGATATGACAACAGGGAAATCTACCGAGATACCGTCCCGTAGTCCCGAATTAATTATGCAGTATAGGGGGATCTTCCGGAATACGTCCGTAGTCCCAAAATAAATATGCAGTGCTGGGGGGGATCTCTCGGAACAAGTACGTAGTCCCAAAATAAACATGTAGTGCTGGGGGATCTCCCTG